AATTAGGCACTCAAAAGGTGCACATGTGGCTATATGTACCCTTACTGTAATTGAAAAACATAACTATCTAATAAAATGTTTTCCGGCCAAAGAGGTTATCTTAATACCATAAAAAAAAAAAAATAAGGGGAGTGCCGTTATTATATAATTTTTTAGGGGAGGAGGGAGGGTCAGCAATTTATCATATCAATATATTTAATATAATGTTATAATTGGCTGCTGATTTTATCATCTAGGAGGAGGGGTTTGGGTTTCTAATAAAAAAAAATTATATAATAAACGGCACGCCCCTAAATAGTGGTTGAATCTAGCTCAATCTGCTAGATTTTTACACCTGGTCATAATCTATCTAATAAAATCTGTTGAATCCGGTAAATTATATAGTATGGATATATAAAAAGTTGTAAGTGGCATGCTATAGGCATACCAGGGTGGCATCTTAGTATTAATTTAGAAAATAGCATGCCATATAGTATGCTATTTGATTTTATGTGTGCCAGGTTCGCTACAAGCAGGGCAAGAGAAAAGAAAAAGCAAAGGTACTACTCAATAAATATAAAAAGGCAAGTAATATATTAAAATTGTAAAATAGTGGCGTGGCAAGAACTTCCTCAGTTTTTGTTATTCGGAAACCTCTTTGGTTACCTGATGTTCAAAGCTCTTTGCTGACCCAGCACTAGTTCTACAAGGTACAGAAAACCTCTTCGGTTACCTGATATTCAAAGCTTCTTGCTGACTTGTTTGGGATAAGAAAATTAGATAATAAAAAATAAAAAAATAATAAAAAATAATAAAAAAATAATAAAAAATAATAAAAAATAATAAAAAATAATAAAAAATAAAAAATAAAAAAAAAATAAATAAAAAAAATAAATAAAATAAAAAAAATAAAAAAGTATATTACATTGCTAATAACTTTTATTACTTTCATTTTAGGGCATTCGAATTGATCACAAACATGCTATGAATTGGAAGAATGAAAAAGAATCACGTAAAATAAGTTTTGGTCCCTCAGTTAATATTTACAATTCAACATTCTCTAGAAACTCTAAAAATATTGTAACTTTAAATGATAAAACTATAAGTTCTGGTCTCTCAGTTAATATATACAATTCGACATTCTTCAGAAACTCTGGAAATATTGCAATTTCAAATGCTAGAACTATAAGTTCTAGTCTCTCAGTTAATATTTACAATTTGACATTATTCAGAAACTCTAGAAATATTGTGACTTTAAATAATAGAACTATAAGTTCTAGTCTTTCAGTTAATATATACAATTCAATATTCTCTGAAATTCTGGAAATATTGCAACTTTAAATGATAGAACTATCCCTTAAGCTGTAGAGTTCGTGTAACAATTTTAGCTTAAAAATAGCATAAATTTAGTTATGATCTATTCTTTTTAATATTTAAAATATTTAAATAAAATTTCATATAATAATATTTGAAAATAAGGATTATTTTTTTATAGTATTT